CAATCAGAGGTGTCGATAGGAAAGGCTGGGGCTTGCAATCAGGCAGCTGTGGTGATTTCAACAAAGGTGACAGATGATGCCTGAGGGTGCTGAGCCCCATGAAGGGCCAAAAACATGATGGAAAGCATGGAGTGGTCTGCACAGAACAGTTTTAAGGGGGAACTTTGCTGCAGAAAGAAATTGAATCAGGCAGGATAATTGTGTTTAATCCACACTGAACTTTGTGGTGCTGTCTGTTCACACAACTACAGCCAAAGATTGGCTGTTCTTTTGAAGCCAGCATGAAACGAAGACCTTTACTGTGCACCTCAGAGAGTCATGTGCTTGTGCCCCATCTAGATTTAATCGGTAAACTGAGCAATCTGGTAGTGACAGGAGCTGGTGACAACACACTTCATTCAAAACTGTTCCCTGATAGCACTGTTGGCTTTGGGTTGATTTCTGCAGCTGGTATGAAGAAAGTGGCAGAGAAAAGACCTGTTCCTCTAGCCTGTCCTGCCAAGAGAACACAGGCAGAGCCAAGGAGCTAGTGAAGGCCTTGCAGATTTCTTGTGTGTAGTATGGTAGTGGAAAAGGCAAACCCACTGAGACACTGCTGGTGGCCTGCTGGAGACCTACGGATGAGGCAGGATGCAAGTCCACGGCAGCACAAATTAAGTGGTAGGACACTACCAGGAGGTTACTTCTAGCAGCAATGTGACTTTGAACCACACTGAAATGACATCTTTTTCATTGCAGGAAGCTGAATAACCTGATAAAGTTACAGATGCCAGTTACCAATCCTCTGTGAGGACCTTAGACAGGGCAAATCTGAACCACATAGCATATGACTACTCAAATCTGGGCCACTGCAAGAAACAGGCCCAGCTGCTGCTGAACAAAACAGACTTCCCATATAAAAGTCAGCAAGCACTAAATGCCCAGAAAGAATACATTGAAGTATAATGAGTTTCAGGTCTGGGTGCAAACTAAAAGCATTTTCTACCACTCTCCCTTGAATTCGAGAAGTTCAGGGCAAAAGCTCCTCTTTGGACAGAGATGGCAAAGTGACTTTCATTGGGGAACAAAACCAAGAAGATCCTGCGATTCCTTGGCAGAGGAGTGACAGGGGAACAGGAAAAGAGGAACCCGTGTCCCTTTCAATATCGGCAATTTCTGACAGCTCCTGAAAGGAGCCTTGTCTAAGGTGTCACTAGGGAGGAGTGACACCTAGAGTGGAGCTGGCTAAAAAATCAATGTCCACATCACTCTCACTGCTAAATACAAGGCCCTGGAGTTACATACTCTGTTAACCTGTACCAGGAGATAGTACTATGCAAACATTTCTGACATTTCTATGCTGTTGTCTGTAACTTTTTGTGTATGACCCATGAGATGTAAATCTAGAAAACAACCCCACTGTTTTCCCAGCTTTACCTTGCTGTTGTTTTTTTTTTCCTCCAAAAATATACTTTATGGCTGTAAACCAGCAAGTGTAGTACGAAAAAATAAGTTAACTTAGGCTTGCATGGAGGCTGCCTCTTTTATTAGACCAACAGATACAACTGGAGCAAACAAACGATCTTTCAATCATGTGATCTATCTTTGGGTCTGATCTGCAGCCTGCTTTTTTCCCCCAGCAGTAACTGACAGCATAATAGAAGGCATTTCTCCTCCTTAAAAGCCTTGGCTCACTTCTACTTCTAGACTGCAGTGGCTATAGCTGCCCAAATACTGGCACAAAGCAGTCAGTCAGAGTTTAGGACCCAGAGCCCTGCTTTAGGCTTACAGGATGTGACAGCTGACTGAAAATCAATGAAGTGTGATTTACAGAGCATCATAATAAGGCAAGAAAAGGCTTGAGAGGTTCTGCCCTGCCTTGCAGACTCGGTTGTCCACCTTGATTTTTAGCTAGACTGTTTCAGCCTCCTACTAGGATGAGACTGATTTCCTTAGGAAAGCAGAACATCAGATTTAAAGGAAAAGCCACGGCAGTGTCCATGCTTTGCCTAGCGTTCTTTACGCTGTGTCTGAGCCACTCGGGTAAGTGTGATTTCTTCTTCTTTCAAGCCAAGCTGCCAGCGTTCAAGATCTTTTTTAATGCTGGCCAGTTAGCTGCTGTTGGCGGGGAATAGATAGATATCAGCTTCCCTCGGTCCTTTTTACACTCTCTGACTATAGCAAGGAGGGTTCTTACCAGCTGCTGCCTTTGTGTTTCAAGGATGACCAATTTGGCAACAAGGTTTTAATAACTGGGATCGGGAGTGGGGGGTATGTGTGTGTGTGGGGGTGGTTGGTCGTTGGGTTAAGTCAACAAAAAAGTCCTACCTCCTGCTGCTAAAGGGAGGTACAGGAGAATGCCCATCACTAGGAGGAAAACAAATGCCTCAGGCGAACTGATGAAAGACTAAGTGTCCTGTCTGTCTGTATTTCTTAGGGTGTTTTGCATGTTTGTTTAGCAGACTCCCTGTCCCACCACTCCTTCTCCTGTGCCTGTGGGGAACTGCTCCTGGAACTGTTTCCTGCAGAGAGAAACAGGAACCTGAGGGAGAGGGGAGAAGGCAAACAGTGCTTGGTTACTTATATGCACAATAACTTGCCCAGGAACTTTTGACTTCTCTCTGCACCACCATATAGTAAATTCAGCAATATATCTGTCCCATGGCCACCTCTCTGTTTTTCCAAGGCAGTGATACTTTTTTCAGTGTTTTCTCCATGGCTTTATCTAAATTAATCATCAGGCAGGGTTTGATCAAAGGAGCTCTTAAACTATTTTTTCTGCTTCCTTCTGTCTTCCTTCTCATTGAAAACTTCTGCTCACAAACTGTCCTCCTGCAAATATCGAGGCTGTCTTATAACGGCACCAGTCTTGTTCCTTCTGGCTATATTCTTTGTGATACTTCTCAAGTCCTCCTCACTCTTTTCTGTTGCTTCTCCAGCAGCTAAGAATGAACACATCCAGCCCCAAAATCAGCTTTACCACCTCTCTGCTATATCCTCTTCGAGTATTATGGCCCTTGGACTTCCTGTGAGGCTGTGAAAATGTACCATTTTCCTATAAGAAAGTTCATACACAGCCATGGGCAACATGCCCATGGGCTGTGTGCTTGCATATGTGCAGATAAATTCGGATATGCTCAAATAAATGCAGAACAATGTATTCCGGCATTAAGACAAAGCTAATTTTGATCCTGCTTATTTTGGGCTTGTGGATTATTTCTATTCAATGCCTTTCCCATTATGTTTCCTCTGTTTAACAAACGCATCTCCCCTATGAACCTCCTAAAGTGGAAGCAAAGGGGCTAGTGGTAGCCCTGCCACGAGAGCAGGCAGAAGGGGTGCTTGTGGTTTCCCAGGTGGTAACAGCAGACCTCCAAGGCTTGTGACAAAGTGGCACGACACAGGGTGGCTGCAGAGGCTGCGACAAACTCTGTTGACAGCTGCATGACCCCATCCCTCTCTGTGGTGCAGAGCAGGTTGAAAAGAGTGTGAATGATCTCTCTGACACGATGGTCTCTGCCTCCCCAGGGCTTGGTAAACCCACCACAACTGCATGTCCAACGACAGAGGACAAGCACAGCCTGTACTAGAACATCCAACAGTAATTGTTACCCTGTGAGTGGCAATTACTATGCTTCAGAGTTTATGCCTTCAGAGTTTAGAACTTCTCAGAGAGGAATGGATCTCTGCTGTGGCTGGAACTGGGGGACGAGACTGCTGCTTGGACCCTGTGCTAACCTGAGAGGATCCATATTGCATTAGGAATCTGTTTTGTCCAATGGAAAGCCCTTGTGTGGGGGCAGTTTTTTGTTTCAGCTGTGCCTGTTCCTGCCAGCTCTTCCCCTGCCCACAGCCTTGCATCAACCCCTCCAAGGGAGAGGAGGCTGCATTGCCTGTCTTGCCCTGGAGATGGTGGCAGCTGCTGGGGGAAGGGGATGTGGACAGGGATAGTGGTCTGTGGCCATGCCCTTTCCTCTATGTATGTGGCAGAGCATCAGCCTGTGCCTCCAGTTTTCTCTCTGGAGAGGCTGCTGGGCTTGGATGCCCTTTCCTTTCTCCAAGTGGCACACAGACCCTACTGGGGGAATATGGTGGCAGGAACCAGGGGAGTCCAAAGTCTTGTAGGTACAGACCGTTTGGTTTCATGCTTGGTTGCAGGTAGACCTTTCCTTGGCTGCATCAACCAGCTCATCCTGCTGCCAGATGAGCTCCTCTTGCTTTTGATCTACCAATGCTATTGCCCACCTAACCTACCCCTGATCTGGGAGAATTCAGCTTTCTCAACAATTTGCTGCTATCCCCTGGCTAACCCCAGAAGGAGTATTCATTTCCAGCTGCTGCATGAGGCTTCCTCAGATCTGGCTTAGAGGCCCTGTAGCTTCCAGTGAGGAAATTGAACCACCCTAATCCTTTTGCAGAGCAGCCTCCATCTCAAAGAGGCCACAGAAACTAGCTGCAGGTGAAAGCCCTGGGCCTTGAATGTCCATAGTGTATTGCTGCTGTTCCTAGCTGCAAGCCAGCCAGCCAAGGACTGCCCCAGCGTGACCAGATTTCGACTGTGACCCCAGCTCTCTGTGGTATACCACAAGTATCTGAAAAAAACAGGACTCTTTTGCAGGGTGGAATTTATCAGGCTGGTTATTTACTACTCAAGAGTGAAAGAAAGCACCTGATGCTCTGAGCTTGTGGATCTTCTAAAGAATAAAAAACAGGAAAGACTGGGCAAGTACATCAAGTCAAGACAAAAATGCCACAGAAAACAGGGACCTAGTACAATGTCTTCACTGCTCTGGTATGATTATTTTTTCACATGTGAGTTGAGATTGGGCTGTCTTGTTTTCCCCTTCCTTTGCCCTGGCTCTGCTGAGAGTCCGTGCACCTGAATTCCTACAGATTTTCCTGACCAGAGCTGCCCAGAGGCGAATTAGTTTCACATCATCACTCTGCCTCACTTCTTTAGGTTTTGCTGTTCTCCATGTCTGCTTTCCAGCATGCCCCCACCCTCTGTTGCTCTCTTCCAGGTGTGAATGCCTTCAGCTCCATCGCAGAAAATGAGGATGCACTCCTCAAGCACTTATTTCAAGGCTATCAGAAGTGGGTCCGCCCCGTGGAAAACTCCAACAACACCATCAAAGTCCTTTTCGGATTAAAGATATCACAGCTTGTGGATGTGGTAAGTATTATGTTTGGCTTGGTAAAACACCCCTTCTCTTGCAGGCAGTCACGCATTCACCTGAGAGGGCTGGTGATGCTGTTGGGTGTTGCCTCCTGACATATGGAATACCAAGTGAAGGTGAGGCAACAAAACGCTGATTGGGATGTGGTGCTGGTGATACGACCTCCTGCCCCACGCACAGCACGGGCTGTAAGACTTGTTTGTTTTGCAACAAAACTGAAGGTCCTTTTTTCCCTGCTGTTCTTAGGGAGTAAGGCATCCTTGCATCAGGTGTTAAACAGTCTGTGCCAGACAGTCCCTGGCGCTTACATTTGCAATTTAATGACAAAGCAGCTATGGGACAGAGGTGAGGAAGAGTAGAACTTGTTGGACATGGTTCACTCTAAGCAAACTTCTATCCAGGCTGAAGGCAGCTTGTATCTTGACCCAGATGGCCACTCAGATAACACACTAGAGGCCAAACAGGTAGTCCCATGTTTTTGCCCATGTAGAAATTTTCCCTTCCCTTTCCCCCCATTCCTTGCAATGCACAGTGGAATTTGCACAGGGCCCAGAGGTACCCACACTCCTTGGGTGGCTCCTTGCATCCCCCGGCAGCATCCTCTTGTGCAGTAGAAGGCAGACTCTATTTTTGTGCTTTATTTACATATTCATGCCAATGCTTCTCCCAGGTTGAGCAATGTGGGAGATGAACCATCCTGTGAGCTCACAGCTATATGTGTTCAGATCACACTTGCTGGCTGAGCCTTGCTGCTTCCTTGCTCTTTGGCATTCAATTCCTTCAGGCTGCTGTGAACTGCTAGACCTTCATTTTCCAGCCTCAGGAGCTTCCAAGGAGAGCAGTGACAGCATCTAGAAAGTCACTTCACTTTCTCCAACAGTGACTGAAGAGCCCAGGCCCATGGGGAAACTGGGCTATAGGGATCTGCTCTGCTTGGCACAGTTTTGGTCTCAGCAGGTATAGGGCTGTTTCTGCTGACTGTTTCAGTATTGCAATCCTCTCTGCCTTCTTGTCCCCTAGGATGAGAAGAATCAGCTGATGACAACCAACGTGTGGCTGAAGCAGGTAAATTAGACTGAATCAGACCTCCTCTTTCACTGTGGGGCTGCTGAACTATGAATCTGCTGCCTACTGCACCACCCAGTCAAATGGATGGATATCTTTTGACCAGACAAAAGCAGCACTGTGTTACGTTGCCTGAAGCTTTTACTTTACTACCCTCACTTCGGCAAATGCATAAAGGGTCAGACAGGCAGGCAGATGGGCTCTTAGGAAATAGAGTACCCTCTTCTCCTGGCCTGCACCCCAGCTGTGTGCTCCAGACAGCTGTATTTCAGAGGAGCAACACCTCCTGATACCCTGTTGGGTGTCCCTGTGTGTGCCCTGAGGGACTATCCTCACTCAGACTTGGAGGTCACAACAGTACTGTCTCTCTTGCACAAGGGAAGAGTGGTGTCTCGGATATATTTCATCTTCAGCATGAGTAAAGAGAAAGAAAGGCCAGCATGTTACACCACCTGCACCCCTCAATTAAAATCTGTGGCAAATCAATCAGACCTCTCTAACATAATTGCTTCTGGAAGTGACATTTATACAAATGGGAAAGGTGCAGGTTAAACTGTTGGGTCTCCTTTCTTCTTCACTTTTAAAGAACACTGTGTTTGTTTTAGATTACATTGCACCAGTTTCTTGACCTTGTGGCAATTATTTTAAGTCTCAGTTCTGTGAGTATCTCTAAACATGTCAGCTGATCCTGGGTAGAGGACATAAAATGCAAGCCGTTCTTGAAATGATGCCATGAGAGATGGTTCCCAGGGCTGGCTGGGCTAGTGGGGGAGAAAAGAATCTCAGTTTTTGTTCTCAGCCTGGTACCTGCAGTGAGAGTTAAATTCTGGGCAGAGCAAGACTACTAAAGACCGTATGGACATTAAATACAAAGACGGTCTCTCCCTTGAAGAGGGAGAAGCTTAGACTTTCTCTTGTTGCAGGGAGGACAGAAATTTCCCTTTCTGCTGGAGATATTTGCTGCTGATCCTAATCTAAGTGCTGAGAGCCTGCCCTGAAAAAGCTGCAGTGTTACATTTTCCCCACCTCCAGCTGCGATTGCAGAGCCCTTCATATGTGTAGAGGGCCAGATCTTGGCTTCCTTACTTTGTTTGAGTAGCCACTTGCAGAGCCCTGGTAACTCCTCACCCTCCATCTGTCCAAACCCCATTGTCCCCGTCTCCTTGCAGGAGAGCACCCACCTCCCCCATCAGGTCCAAGCCCTGCAGCCCAAGGCGTGGAATCAACTCACTTTATCCTCTTCATTCTCTCTGTTCCCGCAAATGTCTACAAAAAGACTTTACTGGGTCCTGGGTCTGACCATCTTCTTTTTAGGAAGCCTTGTCTGCTTGCTCCACTGAGAACAGCAAAGTCTCCCATGCCCTTGGGCAGCCTTCATCCCTCTGGCTGGGTGACATCTTCATCCAGGTTACAGTGACTGCAGAAAAGAGTGGCTTGGAATATTGGCTCATATTATCAGGCCAAATGCAAGCCCAGGCTGCCCAAGGTCATTAGGCTTGTAGTGCTTATGCGGACAGACACTTACTGATCCTCTCTCCATGGCTGCGTGTGTGGGGACATTTTGGGTTATCCCATCCGTGCTGAGCATCCTGTTTGTATTACATATTGACCTCCCCAGAGTCATAGCCTGGATCCTCTGTCACCTTGCTGTGGGAAGTCAGGTTCTGCTGCAGGTTACTCCAAATGTGCTGCAGGAGGCAGGGATGTGCCACCATCCACTCACTGCCACCCAAGTGTGGGGGAGGATGAGGGGGGAGCCATTTTATCTGGTCCTTCTGCCTCATGCTGTGACTAAAAGAAGGACCTACCCAGGAGTCTGCACTGAAGAGATGCTGATTTCTCTGAAGGCCTTTGGAGAGTGTGCTCAGATTTTAGCCAGGGCAGCTCCCTGGGGTAACAGCACTGTGATTTTCAGAATTGCTGAGCTGGGCTCTCACTAGTTGTTATAATTTCTAATACTTCTTCTCTATCTGAGAGGCTGAGAACATCAAGGCCCAAATGAATTATAGAATTTCTTGGGTTAGAGAAGGCCTTCAAGATCATTGAGTCCAACCATTAACCTAACTCTACCAAGTCCACTGCTAGACCCTATCCCTAGAAGTGCAAAGGGCGCAGAAAAGGAGACACGGGCTCTGCTTCCCACGGATGCAAGAGGTCAGGCTGAGCACAGGTATTTATACCTGTGGCATGACCCAGGCATCCTGCTCTGGGAGTCATGTATTCCCGTAGACTTGGTGTGAACTGGTCCGGTGGGCACTCCTGTGCTTGAGGGATTATTACAGTGCATAACTACAATAGCTAGGAAAAAGTCCATGAAAATAAGCAGAACTGTATTTTTTTTTCTTTTGGGTAGGGAGAAGTGAAAAACACTAAAACAAAACAGAACTCTTTAATCACACAGACCTTGTCCTCTTGCAGGACTTGGGGAGGTTGGGAAAGTCACTGTGAGTGTGTGAGCTTGAGGGGGATATGCAGTCATAATTTGTCTCCAAATGTCTGTCTTTTCTTAGGTGAGCAAGCTTAAATCCAAGGGTGTTCTTTCTTTTTTTTTACCTCAAACATCCAGATGCTCAAGATGGTAGGACTTGATGTTGGTGCAGGCAGACACACAAGGTGGAAAGGAGCTTTTAGTGGTTGCTGAGAAAGTATCTGGGTTTGGATAAGCTATGGAGTTTATTAGCAAAGGTTGAGACTCTGGGTCTAGCGTTTCTTGGTCTGCTTTCTGTTGGTTAGGCACTTGAGTGACAGCCGAGGGATGGGAAGGTGGCAGAACTGAGGGAAAGGGAGAGCAATGGGAGTGTCTGGAGCAGCCTGGAGGAAAGGGAGGAGAGAGGAAAGAGCCCTTCATATCTGCTGCTACAGTTTGTGTCAGCATAGCCCATAGGGAGATTCCCCTTTTAAACTACTCGTCTTCAAAGCCTGCACACAATCTATTTCCTGCTCTGGTAACAAGCATTTGCCTTGCAGACATGAAAGAGCACTTTAGCTGGGAGAGAAATCAATGCCAGGCAGGGGGGAGAGAAGAGTGTTGCAGATGCAGCAAATAGCAAAGGCCAAGGAGCTGCTCCAGTTCAACCCCAGAGGGATGACCTTAATCTTCAGGTGGCTCTCAGGTTGTTTTTGTGGTGACAAAGCAGGCTATGGGCTGACTGTGTTGGCTGCTGCTGTCAGCCTTGACTATCCCCTTGCTGAACAGATATGTTTCCAGCCTAAGCCACCTTACACCTGCTACAGGAAGTGTCCAGGATGCATGTGAGTTTGTGCCCACCTAACAGCCCAGGATGCTGGAAACATCTGGTACATACTCACCAACAGCAAAGAGTTTACACTAAAAGTGGTGTGCTCTGTCCCTCATGCTGAGGCTAAGAGCAGCATAAACTCCCTTCTCTTTCCTCACGTGAACAGCCCCCATCCCTCCTTCGGCAGCAGGAGGTGCCAGGGGTGGATGGTTGTGCCTAATAGTTGATGCCTGCCATTTGGGCAATGGGTCCATATCTCTTCTGGTGCAGGTAGTGGGGCCATTATTCCTGTCATTGTACCATCCTAAGCCACTGCCTCCTTGGCTTTTGCCTTAGGCTAGATTTTAGGATGGGTCTACCAGCCACCTGCCCATGACCTTTGGACCCATTACTTTCCTGCACCTCAAGAAGAAAGACATTTGTTCTCACTGTCTGTATTTAGGTCTCTTCTGAGGCTCTGGGTTGCTGTGTGGCTGTAAAGGACTGCAGTAATAAGTGTCTGTAGGTATAGCTGTGAAAAGCATGTGGAATTGAAGAAGTAAGAAGGGAAAAATATGGCTGGAGAAGAAGCAGAGAATGTTGCTTTTTGGTTGATCCTTAAGTCATGAAGGAAATTGCCTAGAGAAGGCTGAGGCCCACACATGCCTGGGGAGCTCTTAGTGCTGGAGCTTAATGGAAAGAAGTTCGTCTTCTGCTTCTTGGTACTGACCACAGTCTACAGCTCTAGCTTCCTCTCCCTGCTGTTCCTGTGGGCAAGTGAAAATCCCCATCAATAATGAATGGGGATCAGAAAAATGTTTTTCCACTGCATCTCTGTGAAAATCTCAAGGTTACTAGAGCCACTTTGATAGGATCTCCTTATATGAGAAACAAAATAGGAAAAAAAAAATTATTGCAGAGTTTAGCTTGATGAAAATGGCCAGGACTCCACCTGCTTTTGGTTTTTTAGTGTTATCTCTTCAGGATTTTAACCAAATGCTTTACAATGGCATTGTATTATTTTTCCTGCAATCGTGTGGAGGTCTTTCTGATGAAAGAATGATGATTGAGTTTACAAGGATAGTGTATAGATATTAGGTGTTGTATTCTGCTCACTGAAAAAAGCCAGGTCTCCACTGAAAAGTAATTAAAAGGCCACCTCTTTGTCTCTTGGGTAGTAGTAGCCATGCCAGCTGGTTCTTCCATGGGGTCAGTGCCAGCCCAAATCACCATGGGCTGATTCTGAGATGGAAGAAGAGGTGCCATGCCCGAGGGAAGTGGCTCCTTCCTTCTGGAGTGCCCTCAGGTGGGCTGGGCCAGGCGATATGTGAAGAGTCAAATGCTCTCTGGGAGTGCCTGCTGTGAGGTTGCCTGCTGTGAGGTTGCCTGCAAAGGGGTTAGTTGCTGGGCCCCATGTGTGGCTAGAAAGGCTTGTGGGTTTTACCCAAATGCCTGCCTGTCAGTCTCTGTGTCTCTGCAGTCTTAAACGAAGCTCTGCCCATCGGTCTGTGCAACGCAGTTCCTCTGAGGCAAGTGGTGGGAAGAGGAATGAAGCTGTTGTGCATGGGTGGGCAGAGGACTCTGCTGGCTTGTTACAGGAATGGATCGACCACAAGCTGTCCTGGAATCCAGAGGAATATGGTGGGATCACCGCCATCCGTGTCCCCTCTGAGTCCCTGTGGCTTCCTGACATCGTTTTGTTTGAAAAGTGAGTAGCATGGCTCCTTGTCCTGGACTTAGGCCAGAGCTTGGGCATGGCATGTCCTCAAAGCTTGTGTGTGCTGTTAGAAGGCTGCTTCTTTAGGCAGTATGAATGTTGGCTTCCCTTGTGCTCCAGGTGATGGGCAGAAAGCAGAGCTGTGAGGGGGTAGGACTGGGGCAAACATAGTCCTGAACTTGGTACTGTTTCTTCCTGTCCAACTCCCAGTGCTGATGGACGTTTCGAAGGATCCCTGATGACCAAAGCCATAGTGAAGTACAATGGAGTGGTGACCTGGACACCACCGGCCAGTTATAAGAGTTCCTGCACGATGGATGTGACCTTCTTCCCCTTCGACAGGCAGAACTGCTCTATGAAGTTTGGATCGTGGACATACGATGGCAACATGGTGGACTTGATTTTAGTGGATGAAAATGTAGATAGGAAAGACTTTTTTGATAATGGGGAGTGGGAGATCTTAAACGCCAAAGGTATGAAAGGCAACAGGAAGGATGGGCTCTATTCTTACCCATTTGTCACTTATTCCTTCGTGTTGAGACGTCTCCCACTGTTTTACACACTTTTCTTAATAATTCCTTGCCTAGGATTGTCTTTTCTAACTGTCCTGGTGTTTTACTTGCCTTCAGATGAAGGAGAAAAGCTTTCATTGTCTACATCAGTTCTAGTTTCCCTCACTGTCTTTCTTCTAGTGATTGAGGAAATAATCCCTTCTTCTTCCAAAGTCATTCCTTTGATTGGTGAATACCTGCTGTTCATCATGATTTTTGTGACCCTCTCTATCATTGTGACTGTGTTTGTTATCAATGTCCACCACCGCTCCTCAGCAACTTATCATCCCATGGCTCCCTGGGTTAAAAGACTCTTCCTCCAGAAGCTGCCTCGGCTGCTCTGCATGAAGGGCCATGTAGATCACTATTCCTTCTCAGAGACTGAAGAAAAGGAAACCACCTTGAAATCAAAGTTCCCGGTGAAGCAGAAACACAAGCAAGCAAAAGATGGAGAGAAAGTTGTTATTGCCTTTTTGGAAAAGGCAGCCGACTCCATTCGATACATTTCCAGGCATGTTAAGAAGGAACATTTCATCAGACAGGTAGGTGAGGGGAGGGCCAGGAGGGACCATGGTATCCTTGAGAGCAGTGGCTAACAAGCTCTCACCTTTTCTGCATGCTGCTCCTTTTGCACCTTCCTCCTGCTCTCATCTGAGGCATGTCATGGGAACTTCCCTTCATGGGAAAATAATATGGGTTTTGGGAAAACACAGTGTTTAGAAGACTGAATTGTGCTGTGAGAGTCCTCACTCCTCACAGATGCCAAGAGACCACAGCAGCCTCTCCTGAAGGAGTTTATGTTTTGGGATTATTTGAATAATTTCTTTTCTGCTTAACTTGGGGATAGATATAGACCTGGAAAATCTCTGATCTGTCACACTCTGGAAATTTGTCTTTCACAGCTCTCATAGGCAGGATCTACATCAGTTGCTACATTTCAGTCCTGGTCTCCCAGTGACTTTACAGTATAGCTGCCCTCTTTTTGAGTGGAGGTCTTCTAGATTTTCACGAGCTGCCATCTGTCTCCTCCTCCCAACAATCCACCTAGCTATTAAAACAGCAAATTGCTGTATGCATAACCAATGCATCTCATGTGATGGTAGGACAGTAGAGCAATGGACCCAGGAGGTATGGAAAGAGGAAACCTTCTGTTAGCACCATCTAGGAAAAGCCAGGGCTTTGTATAAATTGTGCGGAGAGGACTTAAGCAGAATCACAGAACGATTTGGGTTGGAAGAGGCTGTAAAGAACATTTAGTTTCAACCTGCCTCCCCTAGGCAGGGGCACCTCCCACTAGACCAGGCTGTGCAAAGCCCCATCCAACCTGGTCTTGAACACGTCCACTGATGAAGCGCCCACAATTTCCCTGGGCAATCTTTTCCACTGTGTTGCCACTCTCATACCAGAGAACTTCTTCCTTACATCTAATCTAAATCTACCCTCTTCCAGTTTGAACCCATTAGCCCCTTGTCCTATCACTACAAGCCCTTGTAAAAAGTCTCTCCCCATCTTTCCTGTTGGCCCCCTTCAGGTGCTGGAAGGCCAATATAAGGTCTCCCCAGAGCCTTTTCTTCTCCAGGCTGAACAACCTCAACTGTCTCAGTCTGTCCTCGTAGGAGAGGTGTTATAGCCCTTGGATCATCTTCCCAGCCCTCCTCTGGACCTGCTCCAACAGGTCCATGACCTGCTTATGTTGGGGGCTCCAGAGCTGGATGCATTACTCCAGGGGGGGTCTTGGAAGAATCACCTCCCTCAACCTGCTGGATGCAGCCCAGGATGCAGTTGGCTTTCTCGGATGCAAGTGCACATTCTTGGCTATTCTTGAGCTTTTCATGAACCAGCGCTCCAAAGACTTTCTCTTCAGGACTACTCTCAGTCCATACTCTGCCCAGCCTGTATTTGTGCTTAGGTTTATCCAATGGAGTTGCAAGGCTTTGCACCTAGCCTTTTTGGACTTGAGGTTCGCACAGGACCCCCTCTCAAGCCTGTCAGTGTCCCTATCTCTTCCCTCTAGCATGTCAACCATACCACACAGCTTGGTGTTGTCCACAGACTTGCTGAGGGTGCACTCAATTCTACTGTCCATGTCACCCACAAAGATGTTAAACAGCTCCGGTCCCAGTACTGATCCCTGAGGAACACCACTCATTGTAGGTCTCCACTTGGACATGGAGCCATTGACCATAACTCTTTGAGTGCAGCCATCCAGACAATTCCTTATCCGTCAAGTGGTCCATCCATCAAATCCGTGTCTTTCCAAAGTAGAGAAGAGGATGTCATGCAGGACAGTGTTGAATGCTTTGCACAAGTCCAAGTAGATGATAGCAGTTGCTCTTCTCTTATCCATCAATGTTGTAACTCCATTGTAAAAGGCCATCAAATTTGTCAGTCATGATTTTCCCCTGGTGAAGCCATGTTGGTTGCCATCATCTCCTCATTTTCCACGTACCTTAGAAGAACCTTCAGGGGTATCTGCTCCAGCAGAGAGACCAACTGGTCTGTAGTTTCCCAGGTCTTCCTTTACTCCCTTTCTGAAAATGGGGTTATGCTTTCCCTTTTCCAGCCAGTGGGAACTTCACCAGACTGCCAGGACTTTTAAAATGTGATGAAAAGTGGCTTAGTGGCCTTCTCTACCAGTTCCTTAGGACCTGTACATGGATCTTGTCAGGTCCAATGGACTTGTACACCTTCAAGTTCTTTAGATAGCCATGAACCTGGTCTTCACTTACAGTGGGAAGATCTTCTGTTTCCCAGTCCTTACCTTTGCCTTCTGCAACTTGAGCAGGGGGGCTAGAGCCCTTGCCAGTGAAGACTAATGCAGAAAAGTCATTGAGTACCTCAGCATTCTCCATGTCCCTTGTGACCAGCTCCTGTTTCCTTCTAGAAGGGCCCACATCTTCCTTAGTCTTCCTTTTATCACTGACATACCTGTAGAAGTTTTTCTTGCTACCCTTGATGTCCCTGGCCAGACTGAATCCTATCTGGGCTTTATCTTTCCTAATGTCAACCCTGGCTGCTCAGACAACTTCTTTGTATTTCTCCCAGGCTACCTGTCCTTGTTCCATTCCCTGTAGATTCTCTTTCTGCATCTGTGTCCGGGAGTTCCTTGTTTATCCAGGTGGCCCTCCTGGCATTCTTGCCCACCTTCCTCTTTGTTGGGATGCATTGCTCCTGGGCTTGGAGGAGGTGGTCCTTGAACGTTGACCAGCTTTCTTGGGTCACTCTCCCCTCCAGGGCTTTACCCCATGGTACTCTACCAAGCAGATCCCTGCAGCGGTCAAAGTCTGCCCTCCTGCAGACCAGGGTAGTGAGCTTGCTGCATCCCCTCCTTGTTGCCTTAAGGATCTTGAATTCCTCCATTTTGTGGTGACTGCAGCCAAGGCTCCTCTTGAGCCTCACGCTACTCACCGGCCCCTTCTTGTTGGTGAGAACAAGGTCCAGATAGCACCTTTTCTTGTAGGTTCCTCTACCACTCATAGAGGGAAACTGCATTGTCATCAATGCACTCCAGAAACTGCCTGGATTGCTGGTGCCCTGCTGTGCTGTCTATCCAGCAGATATCAGGGTGGCTGAAATCCTCCAGGAGTACTAGAGCTTGTCAATGTGAAGCTGCCTCTATCTGACTATAGAGGGACTTTTCCATTCGATCTTCCTGGTCAGGTGGCCTGCTGCAGGTCTCCACTATGATACCGTCTTCCCCTGGTTTCCCTTAACCCTGACCCATAAGCTCTCGGTCAGCTCCTCTTTCATCTCCTGGACAAGCTCCATGGACTCCAGCTGATCACTGATGTAGAGGGTGACACCTCCTCCTCTTCTCCCCTGCCTGTCTTTTTTAAACAGCTTGTATCCCTCTATTCCCATTGTCTCAGTTTAGGGTTGGGGCCATCCCCAGACCTGTAGTAGATGCTCTCTGTTAACCCCCATCCTCTGCCAAAGGGAA